TTCTGATAACCAATACTCAAAAGATCAGATACCTATAAGATATCAGGTTTGTCAGATATTATAAATCAATTTGATTGGCTCAGATCGAGCTTTGTGTGCTCAAGTTGATATAATAAATATAATCTAGCCAATTATATTTATTTATAATCATGTGACTAGTGAACTATTAGTATCTTAAATCTGATAACTTCTCAAAACCAATACAAAAGCTGTTTACTATGCCTATCAGATTTAAGAGGGTGTACTGTATATAAAAAATTTTTTGTTTAAATATCTTGTGGATTGTCTAATAAATTTTTTTTATTTTTTATTTAAATTATATATACAATATTTAGAATTATTTATATATAAAATTAATAATATAGAAAATTGTTTCAAAAAGCAATTCTTAGCTTAGAGTTGTGTATTATACGAAAAAGATAAATTTTAGAAGAGTAAAGATATTGTAGTGAATTTAGATTATATCATAATTTATAATTTTTGTACTATTTGATTCATCTTATTTAGATAAATTGAATAATAGTTAGATTATTTAATTCTGATTTTTGAATTATGAAATATTAGTAATAATATAAAATATCAAAATTTTATTATAATTTTCATAAGATTATTTTAGTATTATATATAATTATTAATATCTTGTGATCTAATGATCAAAATTAGATAATATAATTACTATTTGATTCATCTTTATAAGATAAATCAAATAGTATAAAAATTATCTAATTTGGAATATTATAAATAAAATAAATAAAATTCACTACAATATTCTTCTTTACCAGAATATTTTCTTTTATCTTATACTATATAAAAATTTTTAGTAGACAGCAATATATATATATTGCTGCCTACTTACATTAGGTTGTTACCTACTTATGAGTATATATTGTTATCTACTTATAGGTATATTGTTATCTACTTGTTTTATAGCTACTCATTTTGACCTCCATTAAGCTTGCGTCATCATTTGAGTGACAAACGATTCACACTTGCATTATCAGATATATTAGTATTTGCTCTATCATTCGAGTGATGAACGATTCACACTTGCGCTGTCATTTGAGTGACGAACGATTTGTACTTGCGTTATCAGAGATATATTAGTATTCGCTCTATCATTCAAGTAAAGATTAGTTCACGAGTTCGTCGTCATTCAAGTGACGATTAGTTCACGAGTTCGTCATCACATTTGCTTTGTCATTCGAGTGACAAGCATTTTGTATTTGCATTATCATTTTTGAGTAGATATGTGTCTGATGATGTATTCAGTCACGTATCATTATTTGCAGGCTCGATGTGAGGGCTAGAGTTAAAACCTGGCTAATTTTTCTAATCCAGATATAAATATTATATAAAAAATAAATCCAGATTAATCCATTTAAATCCGAATATAAATATTTCTGGATTAATTCGGATTTATGAAACTGGATATAATAATTAATCCGGATATATTTTATAATCCAGATATATTTATAATCCGGATATATTTTATAATCCGGATATATTTTATAATCCGGATATATTTATAATCCGGATATATTTTATAATCCGGATATATTTTATAATCCGGATATATTTTATAATCCGGATATATTTATAATCTGGATATATTTTATAATCCGGATATATTTTATAATCCAGATATAATAATCAATTCGGATATATTTTATGATCCGGATGTAATAATTAATAATAATCTGGATATATTTTATAGAATAAATGTTCTAGTAACAACCTGTTACATGTAACAACCTCGAATTAGCCAATAGTAGTTAAAGTTAGGGTTTGGTACAATGAATTTTTATTGGCTGTACTAAATAAGTTGTTACAAATAAGTGTGTAACAAGTTGTTACAATTAGATTCGTCCTATTTTATAATCTAGATATTTTATAATCTGGATATACCGATACTTACAATCCACGAATTACACTAGTTGTATACATTTTCATTAACTGCCAACTATCATTGATATCAGAGTTAATACCCGGATTTATAAATCCGGATTTATACTATGTCATGTGATATAGTATTTTTAAATAAATTCTGATATAAATTTATATCCGAATTTATACTATGATAAGCCAGATTGAGGTATTAACTCTAATCTGGATATAATTAAGAACTGAACTTTTTAAAATTTAAATAAATATTAAAACTAATCAGAAACCACATTTAGTATGAAGATAAATATTTAAGGCCATTAAAAAGTTCAACCGCTATTAATTTCAGATCAAAGTAACTCTAATAATAATATTAGATAGCTGCGCGACGCAGTCGCGCTTAAACCAGAAACGTAGCATATATATTTTCTAGAGTTTTTTTAAAATAAAATTTATTTACTGCATAATGTTTTTTTTGTTTTTTAAATGTCGAAATTTAACTATAATTATTCTTCTTGTAATTTATATGTATACATTTTCATATCCGTCCTAAGAATTAGGTATCGTTGTAAATTTCCTGTAGACATATAAAATAGGGATTATTGGTTAAACAAAGTAGAGATTTTAATCTCAATAGCATTCAGATCTGACGACCTGACAATTTATCAATAATAGATCAATCTTATGGTTATATATTTAAGAAATGAAGTAAATATAAATAAAAGCGCACACGTTGAATCCAAAGTTATGATCTACTTGTAGTAATAACTTCAGATATCTGAAATAGCATTAGATAAATCTATTACTTGATGATATATGAATTTCTAAAGGTTTAATTTCACTATTTCTACTTCAGTTATCTGAAATCGCTACATAGAGATAAAATGTTGAATGTACTAATACATGCAGAAGTTCAATGGAGCCCAATTGAGCTGTGATGGATCTATAAATGGAGCCAATGGATACTAGTTTCTTGAACTCCATTCGCAAAACTATTGAGCTCCATTGGCTTCATTAAAGGATCACAAACATATGAGTTGTGTACAATTTTATTCATGCATATAACTTATATACGTACGTACATATATATGTGTATGTGTATTAATATAAGATTTGCACACTGGCCATTTTAGTTGTCTGTTAACCATACATTTCGTAATTTACATTACTACGTACCTGGTATAAGTGCGTGAGAATTTAATGATTTACTATGATTGGTTGCAGTTTTTCACTCTCACGCACTTATATGATAAGTTCTAAAAAATTTGTACGTTTGTATGTATATGCATATACGTACGTTGTAGAAGTGTAATCTAACTCTAATATCAACAAATAATGCAATATACAACTCAACATCTCTAAACTAATATCAAACAAGATCCAAAATCTCCGAATTGGTAGCTTCGATCGGGGCGTGGTTAGATTTGGTCCGAGTTGAAGACTATGGTCTTGCAGGTTGCTACTAGGACTTCGATAAGTATCTCTTTTACTTTAGGCAAGTATTTTTTTGTGCTAAATATGGTGCCTTTTATTAATGTCTTTGCTATATTTTCTCGTTATTACTAGTATACTGCTTATTTTTAGGTCACGGGATCATGTGATTTATTTCAGTATCAGTGGATGCTAAAATACGATTACGTAGTTATGATCAAAATCGAATTACGTATGTATTGCTTAACAATGGGATCAATCACAAATGCAATCACTAAGTTTTTATATAAATAGGGGTCGATTACTAATACAATCTCTTTCCTTTACTTCGAACGAAATAATGAAATTAGGTCTAACAAGAATCACGGAAACAAGAAATCTCAATAAACAAGAATACGATAACGACATGTAACTAAAGGGCACAAGAGAACTACTACTATGGTTTGCTTAGTAGTTTCAAACTCAAAAGGAACTCAAGGGGAGTTTAAAACTCAATGGAGTTGCTTTATTCAAGGTAAAATATCGGTCGTTTATATATCTTTTCGTTACATGTGAAATAAATTTTGAAAATTTCTACTATTTACACTTTTTGCATAATTTATCCGTTTGCTATAATTTTGTTGTTTTACCGAATTTAAAATTTACGAAATTTTCAAAATCGATCTTGTGCTATGCCGATTGCGCATCTTTATCAAGTGGGGTGAATTCGACGTTTACAATGTACGTGCTCATATTGTATAAACTTGAATCATTTATCGCATGTTAGCTAAATGTAAAGAGACTTAAATAAATTATTAGATGCTAATTCAGATAGTGTATTGGCATTAAAAAATTAAGATGCAACATATTATCAGCTAAAGATTTAAATAAACCGTTAAAAATTGCTTCAAATGATGATTTGCTTTAAGAATAGGTGTTATACGCTATCAACTATATAGATACGACCAATTCAGCAAATCTTTAAAAATAGATTAAAATAATGCAGATACATTAAGAAAGCGTAAGCTTATCGCATTATGGATGGATATACAAACTTAAATAAATCATTAGAAATTGAACCAGATGAAGTATTCATACCAAAAAGTCATGGGAAAACTTATTGTAAAATGGACAAATATAAGAAATCACTTGATAATTTAAATAAATCATTAAAAATTGATCCAAAAAGTGCGGGTCCATTAAAAAAACTCATTATTGATTAGGAAGATATGAGAAATCGCTTGCAGATATAAATTACTCATTCAAATAGCGCAGATAAAAAAAACATATCTGATATATAGTAAATATAAAGAATCACTTGCAGATCTATATTAACTATTAACGATCGAAAAAAACAATGCAATTGCGTTAGGGAGTAGCATTATCACAGGTAGATATGAACCTCTTTTAGACTTAAATGAATCATTATAGGATTAATAACAGATGAAATGCTTATTTACTATGCTTCATATGGTAATAGTCGACTAAGCCGACTAAGTTTAATTAAAATTATCGACTTATAAAATTTATCGACTATATACACAGTGAAAGATTCTAATCAATAATCAATATTATTTCTTCACTGTACTAATCAAACCTTTATAAAAAAAATAAAAAGAAAAAAAAAAATAGGAAAGAAATAAGAAAGAAGAAAGAAGAAAGAAAAAAGAAAAAAAGAAAAAAGAAAAAAAAAAGAAAAAAAGAAAAAGTTATTTATTTTCTAAAAATGGATAATTTCTTTTTAAGAATAACATCATGTTTACTAAATCTGGTGCAAGGCGAGTTCTTCTTGCGGATATAAGAGCACCAGCATCAGAGAACAAACGCTCAGAAGGAACCGATATTGCAGGAACGGCTAAATATTTGCGAGCAAGCTGGGAAAGCAGTAGAAAATTTGCACGTCGTTCCTTCCACCATATTAGAGGATCTTGGGTTTTATGAGCAATTTGCTCTTTCAAATACTTCGTCAGCTCATCTTCAGTAATGGTCTGTGGAGTGGGTGTTGAAAGTGAACCCCATAATTCAGCACTTAACGAATCGTATTCTTCTTCTTCTGTAGTAATACAAGCTTCTATTTTATCATTGTTCTGTCTAAATTGCGCTTCCAATATTGATAACTCTGCACGAATTTGTGCTTTAGTATTTCTACGTTCATCCTCAGTAGCGAATGGAAGTAATTTTAACACCCTTGAATCTAACATAGATGCTTTTAATCCTATTTCATCAGGGATACTCCACAATTCGTCAAGAGATAAGTAAATCGCAGCGCACATTTTTTCTAAAAGTCCTTCACACTTTGTAGGAGGCAAATATTTTATGTTATTTGTGTTATCTAATTCAGCAACAGATTTTACTACATGTTCAAACAATAAAAATATCTTAATTTATTATAATTAAAAAGATAAAAATACATAAGGCCACACCAAGCTAATATTTCATTTTGCATAGCCCACAGACTTTTTTTTTTTTTTTTTTTTATTGAGCACCAATAGTTATATTTTTGCAATTTATTTTTTTCCATCATTTTTATTTGATGGAGACCACCTGAATTATCTGATAGAACAAACAAAATAAAAAAAGGCCAACAATCGACTTAAATTTCAGATTCCAGGTAATACAAAACGAAGAATTAACTTAGTGTAGCCTAATATATCTGCACAAGAACATTTTAAAAATACCGCGTCTCTTATGTTTGCCACTTCTACAGCCTTGGCCTCGGCCTCGACTATGTATACTCCGATGTGCATACTGCCATTGTTGTCTAGTTCCAGCTGCAGGTATGTTGGCCTCATCACCACTACTAATACTTGTATCGTCGTCTGAAAGGTTCTCTGATATTTGTTTAGAGTTTTCTGGTAAAGATCCATAGATAAGAGCTATCCACTTTTCAAAAGATTCACCATTCTCAACTCGTGGTGCATACTTATTTTTTAACATACAAATGTAAGGATATATAAGATTTATGGTAGGATATTTGGAGCCACTGAAATGTCTTGTTATTTCTTCAAAAGGTTTCAAAACATCAACCACTTCTTCTACAAATCTTAATATAAAAAAAAAAAACTAGTAAATATGTAACTATAATACGTGCACGAAATTCGAAAGAGTTTGAAACCGTGAAATCTTTTTTAATTGTTTAACCGCATTGTTAACTATATCGTTTAACTGAGTTTAATTCATGTCAATATAATGTAGTCTAAAGCACCAGGAGCTCTAAAAACAAAACATAGTCATAATCTATTTGGATCTTGATTGTGAGTTTGTATTGAATTAACAACCTTCAAAAGGTTTAACCAGTTGTTATTTTTAGCAATAATAATATCCATCTATAATAGATATTAGTTTTTGTGTAAATAGTCATTCACCCAATAAAACTTCTGAAGTAATATAGGGCAGATACCAAAAATACCATATTCTGGATAGTATCTTTTTTTCAATACAATCCTAGATCTGCGATATAAGATTATATATTTTCGGTAGTACTTTGGTCTTACAAAACGTTATCACTATGAAATCAGTATGAATACATTCTGTGTAGTCGTAAATACTATCTACCTGATATGAAATATCTTTAAGCATTTGTAGTTTAGTCTACTATGCAAGTTTACTAAAATTTCGTGAAGGCTCCTATTATTAGCATTCTGAAATATCATCGAAATTTAATCATAAATTAATTATTTTTTTCTTAGACCTGGCCAATATCCTGAGTACAACAATGCTGGGCTCGTATATATATATGTACCGAGGTTTAATCATATAAATTCAAAACTAATTAAGCGAATAATTTAATAGTTAATTAATCGTTTAACCATATAAAATAAATAACCGGTTAAATGCGGTTAAATAATTAACAGTTCTAATCCCTAGCATGAAATAACATCTTGTGGTGTTATTATATGCGGTAAAAACACTTAAAACTAAATACTTTTTTTCTTCAAGAGTCAAACACAATTGATCTAGTTTTTCTCCCTCCTTTTTAGATATTGTGTCTGGCTTGAACTGTAATGATGCAGCTAGTGAACGTATTGCTGGATACAATTCTAATATTCTTTTCCAGGCCAAATAGGCCGAGTTCCAATGCGTCCTACAGGCAGTTAATATTTCAAGGGGGTTAACTATTTCATCATTATTATCAATGTTTTGAGATTCCGCCGATGCATGACACACTTGCATTTCCTTTAATCTTTGGGCTTGTTTTGGCAAACGAAAAAATGTTTGAATGTTTTTAAGACGTTGGTGAATATGCTTAATCTGCTTCAATCCTTCCTTCACAGAGAGCTGAAGGGTATGCGCGGCACAAGGATGCCGACAAGCTTCTACAAAATGATTATCTTTTAATAACCTAATTCCTTTCACCATATTGGCACCATTGTCTGTAACGATCATGTACACTTTATTTTCTATGTTCCATTCACTAATAATATTGAAAAGTTCTTTACTAATGTCTTCGCCCGCATGTGGGTAGGGCATGTTATGACATGTCAATAACATTTCTTGAAATTCAAAATCAGAAGTAAGCCATGTTGCGGTGATACCAATATATCTGTGCTTACTTTTTGAGGTCCACAAATCTGTCGTTAAGTGAACTATAGTGGCAGTGTTAGCCAAGATTTCTCGAAGCCGATCTATCTCTTTAGAATATGTTTCTGAAATATGTTTCTTAACAGTACTTGCGCATGGTATTCGATATTGCGGTTAAAATTCTAAAAGCAATCGCCGAAAAGATGGGTCTTGTAATATGTACAAAGGTTGAATGTCACATACAATAAATTCTATCAGAACTTTAGTAAGTTCATTTTGTCTTTTAGTTGAAAGTGGAGGTAAATTGGTAATATAATTTGTGATTAGATTCACTTTTACTATTGGCTATATAACATACATTTAAAAAGCAAAAAAAAATATAAGTTATATAAAATTTTATTGATTGATCAATTAAATTAATTTTAGTTGATGTCTTAAACATTCTATCTAATTAAATTACATACTTCTTGAGATGAATCAAGATGTTCTTTATAGTTATTCGCAGTGATATTATGTCTTTCACGAAGATGGTATGTTAAATGTCCCGTGCTACCACCTGATTTAGAATATGGATATGGCTTCGTGCGGGTCTCTTCATATTTTTTGACACAAATTTTACAGTATTTAATTTGATTATCTTTCTTGTTATCTTCAAAAAAAAAACGGGTATAACTAGCATTAGTTCTTGAACTGTTTATTTGGATAGGTGTGGAAAAAGCTGATGGTTTAGTTGTTTTGATCATTCGTCTTTTTTTTCGATCGTGATTTAAAAATTCCGTGGTATATAAATGTTCATTATTAGCTTCATTATTAATTTCGTTATTTGAAACAGGACTATAAACAGTACTTTCTTGGGGTAACCAAGAGACTTCGTCTTCTAATGATATTGGCGATGTTGATCGTTCTTGAGAAGACATTTTTTATAATCATAGAACATACAATAAAATTGATTCATATATTGTAAGAAATTTAATTGACATATAACATATATATAACGATAAAGTTTAATCCGTATAGTATCATATGGCAAACAATACGGTTGATTTATACATTATTAAGAAGCTTGATTATTCAATAGCATAATTCTATCATATGACAGACTTAGAATTCATTAAATTCTTTTCTTATCAAATTTGAAATAACATTCGATTTGATATAGTTCATAAATATGGCGTATTTTAAATAATAGCCGATTACTTTGTATGATTTACTTGTTAAAATTAAAGTACGTACGTATGTACATATGTACAATAAAAATCAATTTATGTATCGTAAAAAGTTTGATTATGCTGTATAACATGCATAAATTTTATGAATATCGATATACACAAAGTTTATCGGGTTTGTTAATTTTTCCACTAGTTCCTATTGGACGAAATAGATCTCATCAAACTTAAAATTTTGATTCAATCAAATAATGACATACTTATTAAAGTATCATTAGAGCAGTATAAGGTTTAATAGAACATATACAAAACTTTTGCAAAAAACTTTTTGCTATAGGGATGTTAAAAGTTCGGACTGATTAATTTCTTAAAAAGTCTGATCCTGAACTAGCTAAGAACTAGTTCATAACCCTTTCTGAAACCAGTCTAATCCTAGTGGTTTAATATATAGAACAATATTGCAAATTAAAAGGCTTTGAAATCACAAACTTATAGGACTAGTTTTCGTTCGAATTAGTTTGAACTGTCCCTAAAAAGAATAGCCGTTCACCAAGCATCCCTATTTTGCTAGAAAGTGAAAGGTGGTGTCGTAGGGGTTTCTAACTCAAACGTCAAGCTCACTATATTTCGTTGACCCTCAAAAGGTCAAACGGGGCAAAGTATCTCAACTCGAAAATAGGATATTTGGTAAGAAAAAGCACTTCTTATTTCTTTATTTACTCTTTTTACTTAAATTACATTATATTTCGATCACATTTGACTTTTTAATTAATCTCTAATCACGCTATTTTCTATAAACCTTACTACGACATTTCTCATGCATCGCTTACTAATTTGTGCGTCACTGATTTAACTAAACTTTATTCCCATATACCCCAATCTTATGATGGTGACGTCATTTATTTCAGCATCAAAAGATGCCGAAATATGCTAATACAAAATTTTTTTATTTAATTAATTAATGTATACCCCAGGTAAGTGCACCATGCATTGCGCAATTCCACCACAGTGGTTTTAAGTTACTATGTAGTAATTTTTGAATTTTAACCTTGAATTGGATCTTACATTATTTGATTCGTTAAATTAAGGTTAGGTTTTGTATTAGATTAAGTTAGGAGTGAGAAAAGCTTTTTGTTAGTGAGCAAAAGGTAATTCGTAGAAAAATATTATGAACGATTTTCTCGAATTTATTCTATTGTGTTATGCCTGATCTTGAATTTTGATTGGGCAGTAAAAGTTTTTTGAGCGGTTAAAGCATTCTTAATCATATTCCAATTCAATGTAATTTTTTTACTTCTTACAAACATGAAATATCCTGTTATTTGGGATCAACATATGATTATGCATATGATACATCCTACGTATTCTTGGTTAAGACATGTTTTTATTCACTCAGATAATTAAGAATGAATATACGTAGTAATTTTATAATGATTAATTGATATTTAGATTTATTTCCAGATTTATATGTGGGTCTAATGTTTGGATCCGTGGATATCCGACTATTTTTTGCTCAATCCACTGGATTTTTATATTCGGTCACAAACTATCCGCTGAAATCCGGTGAAATCCATTTAAATCTATTGAAAATAAATTTATTAATAAAAATAAGAAAAAATAAAAAACAATTTATGCTGCCAATAAATTAATAAATTGCAGTGTTATCAATTACACTATATACAGTACACTATACATATATGTTTGTTAGTCTTGAATAAACATCATGCCAACATAATTTATGTTACTTAAGAAAACATCATGCTAACATAATTTAGGTTTCTTTTGAGAAATAGCATTCGTTCAAACAAATCAGGGTTTAAATGCTAACTTCTTTTTCTTGACCCTTCTTTTTTTTGGATTTGTTAGATTTATCATTGTCTAATGAAAGTGTTGTAGGTGTGATATCCGTCAAAGAAACCCTATTAAAGCCTTCGTTAAAACTTAACTACTCTCCATTTCCATTAATGGCAAATACTGTAGAGTTAATTAACTTTTATATATTACACGGGGCAAGCAACACACTGGTACGTATTTATTAGATATAATTTTACAAGACGCATTGATTAAGCCTTCAATTTAAATTTATTTATTTTTTGATTACATCAGTGATGCATCAAAATAGACAAATTAAATTATATCGTCATCACTTTTGAGTTAATCCAGATGATTCGACGGATAGCGAATAAATATCTACCAGATTAAAATAGTCAAATATCTATTAAATATCCGATGAATTGTTTCAACGGATCCAATCACTATCTGGGTCCTTTGCGAGTCACCCTTATATCAAGAAAATCCTGAGCTTTTGACCAAAAAAAAAGGGAAATATAGGTTCATAGTATCTCAAAATTTTCTTATATATCTAACATTAAAAATTGTGCTTTTAAGTAAAATTCCGTGCTAAAAGCTTTTATTTAAAGATCGGAAGTTAGTTGTTATAATAACTTTTTGTATTATTTATGTTTTTTATAATTTCTTATATTTGTTGCGTTTGATTTATTACGCAATATCCTGTAATTTTATTGGATCCGGTTAGGTAAGAAGTGAGAGATTTTCTTGCACCCATTCGGATTTATTTATTAATATTATATCCGGATTTAAATATATATCTGGATTTATTTATATCTGGATCTAAATATTATATCCGGATTTATTTATATCCAGATATAATTATTATATCCGGATATATTTATATCCAGATATATTTAGTTCAAAAAATCAAATCCGGATTTATTTAAAATCCAGATTAATCCGGATATAAATATAAATCCGGATTCATCTATTACCTCTAGTGAGGGCTATATCCGAACTGAGTACGTAGTGCCTTAGCTTTCTGGTTAATTCCTCGATAAGGACCAGAGTTGAGGCATGTAGTACAGAATTGTTATCCATTTGGTAGTAGCCAAAAGCATAATTTTTATAATATATATCTTTCTATAATAATTATACCTTTGACTACTACCACGAGTACGCTATGTTTTGGATCTCTAGAAACCTTTCTCGTATAGTTGATACTTTTGGATACTACCACATCAAAAAAAATATCATGCTTTTGCATACTACCAAATAAATACTTTGGGTTACTACCAAAAAATACCTTGAAAATTTTATTCTTACTTTTGCGTACTACTGAAAAATTTCACGCTTTTGCATACTACCGATTTTTATCTTGGTCAAAATCAGGCAACACAAAAATGGTTATTGAATATGTACCTTATATATCGAAAACACTTACCTAAAATTATCTTAATCAAAATCATGTGACACAGAAATTTCCTTTATATAATCTAGATATCGAAGTATTAATTTTTGATTTAAATTTTTCTGTATACTCATTGTAAGAGGTAACAAAAACTCCTTTACCTGAGATGAATAACTAGTTAAACGTAGCAATCTTTCTTCTCCAAAAATTACTACTTAACTAGATGATATTGTCTTAGTACTTTATACTTGCTTTATTAAAAGATTTATAACGATTATGTATATTCAATGATTGCTAGAGATTTATTTTTCAGTTCTTTTTTATGCGGAGTAGTAAACTTTCATTTTAGCCTCAAAGTTTCATTTATATTCCAAGAAATTGACTTCATTCATGCTTTCTCATTCTTTTTTCTAGTAATTAATATTATTCCAAAATTCAAAGCCAATCTTGGTTTTCCATTGTTCTAACCTTTCTTGAGACATTTAAAATTTTTGCTGTAAAAGAAGGATAAGTATATCTATATCAGATTCATTTTTAATGAGAAATTCTGAAGATAGAGAAATTGCCAGAGGCGGGCATATCATGTCTAAGGATTGTTCAGAATTATTTGATTGATTTTGAGTTGATACCAAAGAAGGCAATTGTGACAAATTTATTACAGGTTTCTCAACAATACTATTACAAGAACTCTCTTCACAAATCTCATTACTGGATGATTTAGAGTATCGAAGTTTTGCTTCTTCTGAAATGGCGATATCAGTGGTAATGGGTATTGAATTGAAAAGTTCTTGGATTTCATCAATCGATTTCAACTTATATGATAGAATAA